TTTTTTTTTTGAATCAAGGCATTCTGTTTTGCTATTTAATTGGTTTCGTACTCGTCTAGTTCATGTCACGCAACATGATTTCCTCAGCAGTCAGACACAGTTTTCTAAACGAATTGGTAGTTGCGAAGTCTGCCAAGTATATTTGAACTACTAGTGAAATAAATTTGGCTTAACTATCGTCAATGCTGATATTCCTTAGGACTTGAATTGGCAAGAACATTTGTTCGTCAATGAATTCTGGCACAATTCCCCGTACAATCGAAGTTTTAATTTTCCCGCACAATTTGCCTCCAAAATTATACAATGATATTTTTGTTTCCTGCACCATACTAGAAAGCCAACTAACTTGGAGGCATTTAGATATTTAACTCAAGTTACCGAAAGTCCTATCTTTACAAATTTGGAGATAGACATATTTTGCGCGGTGCAAGAAACAAGTCGCATGTGTTAATAAGCTACGAGTCCAACAACGTTTTCGTATTTACCTCGTTTTACTGCAACATGATTTTTTTTTTTACTCTCATGTTCTAAATAATAACAGCAGTAGCCACATACTACCTGTTTTTTGTCAGCGTTTTCGTAGTTTGAATTCATACCGCGATCGGCTCAGCTGTTATCTCACGAGAACGTTTCGAGCGTGAACTTTGCTTACCTGGCTGGCGCATTCGTGGACCGACCCTTTCCGAAAACGATCGACATCTTTGTATGTGACATGAACGTATAAGGCGCGATTCTTGCCGAAACTTTCCTCACAAAACACCGCATTCCGTCACGAAGGGCGAGTATTCAATGTCGCGTTTCGTGCCCAGTTTACACGGTCTACGCGTGGAACGCCTGGGACCATAACCGCCATTTTCGCGACCAACAACGGCTTGAATTTTATGACTCGGGCTTTCCTATAGCTACGGAAGCCAGAGTAACGAGGGTTCAAGACCACATAGTCATCCAGCTGCAGTTCCCTGATTATGTTTTATCAGAGTGCAAAGGAAGTCGTGTCCAATAGCCTGCTCAGACTAGGATTTTGTGGTTGCATGCACTGGTGTTTATATTGTTGGGTGTGGTACTTGCCCCTCCTCAGAAGCTCCCTAGGGGATGGACAAAGAGGAAACAGGGTGCGCGGGAACATTCTCCGCATGCTTTCTCTCTCTCCCCAACCTCTGCACTGCTAGCCTGCACAGTCAATGCAGTACAAACGAGGCATATACAGAGAAGAAAATGGCTAGTAGCTTTCACATCAAGTGACCACTTGAAGGGATATTGCTTCTCCCTACCTACACAGACTTAAGTTTAAGCTAGAACTATGAACTACATAGGTTACTTTATAGTGAACAGACATCTATGAGATCCTATATATATTCAGAATCTGCATGCTAAAAGTTGGCATTTTTTAAAAAAAATCCCTATACAGACCGATCGAGCCTAAAAATTGAAAAGGGTTTCTTATTTGCTGCAGTGTATTTGGCTTAAATAACCTAAAATACATATATATACTAGCCAATTGTACGGTTACCCCCAGCATTAAGTTTGCCATTACTGGGTGGAGAGAGGACCTGTGAGAGTAAAGTGTCTTGCTTGGAGCACTCAATCTAGAGACGAGTGCACTAACCATGAGACCGCTGTACCTCCCAAAAAATCATCAGTAGAGGTTACATTTTATGCTAACACAGAAAATTGTAGGTCCTTATACATGTAGGTGAGTGTTTAATGTACTGCTAGTACATCACAGCACAGAAATGTACAACAAAAACTCCTGGTGTAAATACAATATTTATTGCTGTACTTATATAAATTAGTTAAACCCATGCTGTCATGGCCAAAGCAAAAATAATCTACTGTATACAGGGCACATAACCATAACAAACTTTAGCAACCATTATTTCTATTTATTTATTGCTGTACAGATGTGGATAGCTACATAAAGACCATTACATTTACATACAGTTAGCCATTTGTCATTTAAAACTAATTCAAGGTTTGCAGGAATGGCTTCTTTGTGATGTTTCTGTGTAATAATATTATTACCACAAACTAAAGTAGTTTAAGATTAACACCTGTAAATAAATACTGTTAACTGCCACTTGTAAGTCTCCTCCCCCCACTTAAAACCCCCCTGCTTATAGGCTCATCTATCTGTAAACCAAAAAAAATACATCCGGTTGCACACGAAAGCCCCCCCCCCCCCCCCCC